TCAAGTCTTGAGTTGCAAGATTGAGTCGATGGACAAAATACTGAATGATGGAAGCATCATCAAAAGAAAATGGAAAGAACATACAGAGTCTATAGCAAAACCTGGGCAGCAGTCAGCTGCTTGAAGCGGAAGTGTATGGGGAAGAACCTCTGGTACTGAAGAAAGACGTCCACGATGCACTGAGAGCCCCATTTCCCTCTCTTGGATCACCTTTCAGGCCTGCCCAACCTTGCAAATCGCTTGAATCATCTACAACTATTATTTTCTATGGAGCAGCATGCCTCTTGAAAATCTTCAATGATTTGGGAAGATGTCAATTTGATTTTTGTTAAAAAGTTCATATTAACTAAACCCTCAAAATAATTTTTCCTCTGGGGCACAAAAATTAACCTAATTTTGAAGGCAACCTAGAGAGATGAAGTGTATTACTGAGAACATTTGTCTTCAGCCATCCTCTGATTACACAGACATGTTTGGATGGTTTTTGTTTGTTTGTCTGGAATAAACCTGGGTAAGTATGAACCGGCCACTATTAGTGATACTTTTTGACATACCCTTATATTTATATGTGCAAGGTTGAAAGTGATCGTACTGATTTTATGCAGGCATTCAGTTCATATTTGAATATACCTATTGTGACCCAGTCACTTCTCATTTTAGATCATTTTAATTCTTTGAAGGTACATGTTTCCTAGATGGAGCCTTAAATGACAACATTCTCCTTCTTGTAAATTTTAAGGGGAAAAGATGGTTAATACTGGCGATGATGGAGGAGATAAAGTCAGTAAATCTGAGTATGAAAAGAGAATCACTGCCTTCTTCAGGCAGACAAACGTTGTGGATAAACGGGCTTCAAAATGTGCATGCAATATTCCCACTGTCGCTGAATTTCAAGGATTTTACGAAGGCCCCTCTTATCAGTACGAAGACTTAGGATAGATGTTAAAAAGATTCTGGTAATGCAGTATTTTGTAATTTTTTTCTCCTGCCACCTGTACATCCATGAAAACTACCAGTTTGCATACTAGAGACTTCAGTTTGGTAATAAGGAAATAAATTGTAGTCATTTATGGATAATTTCCATATTCACAATAACTGTCATGTGTGATATTTAACTCATGACTATTTTTGTAAGGTCTGTCTGATTACAACCCAGCTTTATCCTCCAAGCTGTAGTGACTGGTATAATAAGATCGCTAAAATGTAATTTATTGTCCCTAGTGAAGCTTAAGGTGCCATGGTAGCATAGTGAGTTAGTCATTTGACTGTTATCTACAAGTTCACAAGCTCAAACCAACCAGCTGCTCTATAAAAGAAAGATGAGGCTGTTTGCTCCTATAAATATTTACAGTCTCAGAAACTCCAGAATTGGGCATGGGGGGTGGGGGAGTTCTACTATGCCCGATAGGGTCACTATGATTCAGAATTGACTCAATAGCAGTAAGTGTGTCTTGCTATCATTTTACTTTTTTTTGGGGGGGGGGAGGTTATTTAATCTGTACATTGTTTTCCTACCTGACAGTTTTTAAACCAGAAAAAAGCAAACTCATTCTAATATTTTCTACATCCCCCATTACTGATGTACCCTCTACCCAGATTGCCCTTCTCTTAAGGAAAGAAAAAAGTCTATCTTGAATCGCAAATGACTCATGCCATTCATCCTCCACAAGTCATGAAACTGTTTGGATTACTTTTCACTAACCTAGCTTTTGGCTAAACCTATTTGACCTATCATGAAACACAAAGGCTCAGCAGGTGAGGAAGCAGAATTTTAATTGAACAAAAAACAAAAACAAACAAACAAAAAACCTGAATCCTAACGTTAGGCACTGAATAATAAAAAGCTTTAAACACACAAGGAGAAGAAAGCACCCCCGTACCTCCGTTTCCAGGAATCTTCTTAAAGCCCTTTTCTTTTTGATGCTCTTCCTTCGGGCATACACTGCAAAGGACAAGCCCATGATGACCAGGATGAAGAGCCCGCCGATGACGCCAGCTGCGATCAGGGGCGTTCTGCCAACCGGAAGGGAAAACAATTAGGAAAGGAGAGGAGACCGAGGAAAGAGCAGTGGTACACAATTTGATCCAGATATCACAAATCTAGTCAGTAGAAGTACAAATTTAAAATGCATTACAATTACGACAAAACACTTTTGTTTTGTAAGTGTTTTGTAAGAACGTTTATTTATATTAAGTATTAACCATGCACATAAAATATAAAACCAGTCTGTGAGGATGAGGAACCACACCACGCAGTTCGTTGTAAGATTTGTAACAGAATGAAGAGTATGTGTCAAAATGTTGATATGGGTATATTCTTAATTGCTTTAATTTCAATTTTAGCTTTCATCTTTTTTAAAAGCCAATTGTTTATAATATTGTGCTATGTAATATTATTTTCAGCATAAAAAAAAAAACTCTCATGATTTGTGTGAAAATTCAACATTTTTCTTTACTTTCTCAACAGTGGCATGACAATTGGGCCTAATTATGTGGCTCTTCCATGGGACCACGGCATTCGGGTGACACATCAACTTCTGATAGGCAAGGCTTAAAACCACCATCCACCCCACGGGAGGAAGACGGGCTTTCTTCTCCCATTGCCAGGTACACTCTAGGAAACTCACATGGGTGTCCAATCCTGTCCTATAAGACTGCTATGAGTCCCTCTGGACTCAATGGCAGTGATTTTGGGGGGCGGATAGAGGACGGTTCTAGGAGCCCATTCTGTGTTGTTGAAGGGTGGTTAGCTGCATTCCTGGCCTCCAGTCCACTAGAGGGAAATAGCATTCCTTTTCTCTAGACAGGGACATGTCTGCAGACATTGCCTCCTGTTCACCAAAAGCGCTCCTGCTGGAGAACCTTGCTCTGAAGCAAAAGTGGATGGATGGTCTAGCGACATAAGCTCCCACCTCTGGAGTACTAGGGCACCAAGAAGAGAGTTGTTATTGTTATTATTGCTGTCTATAATCCAAAAGGGAAATTCTGGTAGGACGAACTGTCAGGGAGAAGATAAGAATTAAGTGAGAGATAGTGAAGACAAAAGTATGAAACCCCAAAGTACACCTCAACCTCATATGCTAATAAAACAGACCCTCTCATTAGGTTTTATATGAAACAGTGTAAATAAAGAGGGAGATGAAGAAGAGATGAGATATTCTAATTGTCAAAATATTTCTCTAACACATTTTTAATCTCATAAAATTTTTTCTCTTCAAAATTTTGTAAATTTTGAAACTAATCACGTCATATTAATTTCCAAGGCAAATTTTTGCTATGCTCGGACAGTGATATTTTTATAACACCTTATTCTGTGGTACTCTATCTGAGCTTTCTCTAGTGAGGGTCCGGTCTTATATTAATTTCACATGTCAAGCAAATAGCTCAGGGCAAATCACCTAGATACTACCGAATAAATATTTGATCATGGAACCATGAGAGATATCAAAACTAAAAAAAGAATTCCCTGTACTCCCATGCTTTCCAAAAAGCATTTTATATTCTGCATTCCTATTTCTAGAAGCAGCTACTATTACCATACAGCTACAGTCTCTGAGAAAAAGAAAAGCTTGCTCTTGCAAAATGCACTTTTGCTCAAAGATATCTTAGAAATAATGATAGTGGATGATGCTAGATAAAATGTTAAACATTTGAAGAGCTTTAGAAATAACAAAAGCTGTGCTACTTCTTCAATAAATGCAGTCATAGCTTTAAAAATTATGATGGCTATATTGTTACATAAATTTTCAGAAAACCTTAAAAAATCGTTCATCCTAAGGTTGCTTCATGGCAGCTCAAAGTAGAATAGCATGCTGAAATGTTGCCATAATTCACGAGGATTCTCTTAAATGGGATTTTTGAAAGATATAAAAATCTATGCTAAGAAAATTATATTATACGATGGACACAAACGCATCATTGTGATGTGTTTTTCTGTGTATGATATTTTGGAGCATGCCACTTGAATATAATTTTAGAAAAGATTTTAGGTTCTTAACCCCAAGGCATATTTTTCAGCTGAAACACATATATCACTGAAAAGCCACAATTGTAGAAGGGTAATATTTTATCTTTCTCAGTTTAGTTTTTAATTTATGGAAAATCTATATAAATAGTAAAATTGGACCAAACTCTAAAAATTTGTATATTTGTAATATATATATATATATATATATTCTCTTGGCTGTGCTTGTTACTCATTTAAAAACAAATAAAAAATTCCTCCAATAGAATAAAGAAAATTATCTACATAAAATTCAAATGGAGGTTAACAGTCACCTTATAACTACTTGATTGATTGGGGTAGTGAAAAATAAACCAATTAAAAAGTCAATAGAGAACTTTTTTCTATATTTTTCTAATTATTATTCTCTTTCAGTATTTTCCCTGGATAACTTTTTTTTGGATCATGTGGATTTCTTTACTTTCTGTTTCTCCTGCTGCTTTTCTAGAACAGCAGAAATACAAACAAACTGAAGAAAAAACGAACTACACTTTCTGCTAAAAATCACACACACAAATACATATATTTTGTTGCTTATTTCAAGAGCCCAAATTCTTCATTTGTGATTAGAATCTACTCTTGACTATAAAGGATAAAGGATAAAATCAGTCAAGTTGATCATTCTGTGAGACAAACTGATTATTCATTTTAAGAAGTGAATGTCCTTTTGAAAAGTGTTCACTTAGATCAAAAAGAAAGTAGATATAAAAGCCAGATGAGTTAGGCACTAACCAGATTTAGACAAGTGAACCTATAAGATGTTTGGAGCCTCATTTGAGAAATCATCATCTGAAACATCACATGAGAAACTCAATGGTGAGTGTTGCTGCTGCTGATTGTTGAGTCTATAGTCCATTTGGACAAAATCTGGGCTAATACACAATACAATGTAAGAATAGTTGCCTCACAATGGTATGAACATTTGCTCTAAAGTTCTGTGTTTTTGTTAAAGTGTATTTTTGAATTTTCTTTTCGTTTCAAAAGAATCCTTTTCTACTTATTGGGTTAAATTTCAGAAAATTAAGCAAAGAAATTGAAAAGTTCACTTTTATAATAATGGCCTTTTTTCCCTTGAATGTTTACTAGGCTTATTAGTTTTTCAATTAAGATTTCATTTTACTATTCCTTGTCTACTTTCTAAGTACTTTTGCATATATTTTCTATTCATTATAGGTTAATGTCTCTAAGACACTTAATAATCATTATGTTTGTTACAATTAACACTGTGTTCCATGAATCCAAGTTAATCTGAAACACCAGTATTTATTATTTATACTCATACATTATCTACTTCTTCCATTGTGAGGATTCTTAACTATTTTCAGGTGTAGGATATATGCTACGTTTCCCCTGTAGTTTAATGCTAAAAAGTAGGGAATAAAATATTTTTGTATGTGGTACCTCTGGTGGAAAAGAGATAGCTATTTACGTTGCTTCTTTCAATTGCTGCATGCTTACGTCTCTCCTGGGTCTAATGATGGCTATTGCAAACTAAACTATGGTTCTGAAAGGAAGGTTTTTTTTGAGTTTTTTTTTACTGGATGTGAGGCAGATGGGCTCCTAAGGATCTTAAATCTGACACTGGTCACATGATCATCAGGGTCAAACACACGGCATCTGAAGACTGTGAAATCCTCTACCTGCCACAAGAATGCTATTTGCTTGCTTGCTTGGCTCTCCATTTAAAAATGACCAAACTCTTTGAAGAGTAGAAAATAGGCCACTTCAATGTCAAGTATACCCTTAAAACAGTAAGGATGAGATCAACTAATCATTTATCTTTTTCTGTGCTAAAAAAAAGTTACTAATATAATTCTAAGCACATTATCATTTTATCTGCATTGCTATGTTCGAGTTTATTAAATGCTTTATATCCTTGATGTTTATGAATGTTTTAAAGTGCCGTTATTTTGAAGCTATCTGGTTCACTTTATTTTCTTAGTGAGAAGACAGTTTTGAGGATTTAATTTGGGGTCTTACCAAAAATCTGATTTCTTTTAAGAAAGGCAAAGATGAGCGGTACCTAGCTGACAGTGCCTACTGCCCTTCTACACTGTCCTGTGTTATCCAACGCAGTTCAGATACGAAGCAAGAGACCCCAAACACTTGGAAATGTTGATGTTCCCCCAGAAGACATTTTATGGTTAACTGCCTAAGGCAAGGAGGGTCACATTAATAGCACTTTTCCTCCTGAAAATTGTGCTTACATTGTGACCTAGAATTCCACCTGCTGATAAAACATGACACGTCTTTTTGAACAAATGAAAGCGATGTAGGTCAAATACTGAGGTAGATATCAGTTGACAGGTACAGTTTTTACTTGATGAAACCCAGGGTATACAGTATGTCTGCTTCCTTTGATTAGGACTTGAGATCTCTTATCTATGACTAATAACATAACACCTGAAGCCAATGAAGCACAGTGCACGCTATCCTGTCCAAGACAGATATGAACCTTTCTTGGTCTGTCTCCAGGTGTTAGGATGACTCGTTTTCCCCAACTCCATTTTAAATATATAAACGTGACATTTTACTCAATAGCATCATATTGCTAAAGGATTTCATACTTCACAGGTTCATTAAACCAATATGCAGATATCACATGGATTCTTTTCTCTCTAGGATTAGCTTCTGAAAACAATATCTAATAGTTTCATTGCAATTCCTTCCTTGTCTTTATAAACAATATTCAAGTCTTTCAATAAAATATGTCATTCTAAAGAACGTCTACAATCATTTACGTTCAACATTGCGGCAAACATTCTCATAGCTAACTATTTCATCCTGAGGATAGACAGATATCATCCTCCTATGAATTTCTCCAAGTGCTAAAGTGGATATGCTGTCGTTGTTAGAAGCCATCAAAATGATTTTAACTCACAGCGACCCTACATACAAGAGAAGGAAACGCCTGCGTGTTTCCGTCCTCACAATTGTTATGATGCTGAGACCATTGTCTCAGTCCCTGCATCAATCCACCTTGTCCAGGGCCTTATTCTTTATTGTGCCC